AGAGTGAGTTTACAGAACCTTGTAGCTCTCAGAAACCACCTGATGTATCGACACATACAACCCCTGGCAAAAATGATGGAATCACCGGACTCAGAGGATGTTCATTCAGTTATTTAATTTTGTAGAAAAAACGCAGATCACAGACATGACWCAAAACTAAAGTCATTTCAAATGGCTACTTTCTGGCTTTAAGAAACACCAGTTAACTTAACCGGGTTTGTTGAAGTCTTCTTTCGCTTTAACCATTCAAAGACATCCTCAAACCGTGAAACTGGCAATACACAGTATTACAGTTCACATTAGTCACAATATTCAATACATTTAAGTCCATACAAAAAAACAAAATACAAATGAATACTTCGTTGGCTGCCTACTAAGAGAATTCTCAGTCTTTTACTTCAGTCTTGTCATCAGTCTTTTTCTTTAGGCTTGTCCATCAGTCTTTTCCTTCAGGCTTTCCCATCAGTCTTTTACTTCAGGATTTTTGGTATTTCCATTTGACACCAGCCTTTCCACAACATGTCTGAGCTGAGTTCCCCAAACAACTAGCTTGCAACTCTAATTAGGCTGTCACAGGCTGAGCAGCTCAACAAGGTTTTCAAAATAAAAGTATCCTTATTCTCATAATTTAACACAAAATAATCTGGTAATTGCTTAAAAGTGAGACAACAGTTACACTCCCACCAAATCCCACCAAAAATCATTGTGGGATTTCTCTACACTTATTGACTGTTGACAATTAACGTAAATAGTGAAGAACATAATACCATTTAAGGATTGACAAGCTAATCTGCTTCAATCAAAGTAACAAGTTTATGTACAGGTCTATTGAGAAACACAGTTTTAGTAGTAGGTTTATCCTTTCCATCAAATGTGGTATCACTAACCAACAATCTGACTTTTCTTACTCTATCATCTGACCCTGGAAAGACTTCTGTTACTCTAGCTTCCATTTGTTCTGTGGGGCCTGATCATCTTAGACAAGTACAATATCATCCACCTTCATATTTCTTCCGTGTCTTTGCCACTTTTGTCTAGACGTAAACTCAGCAGATATTCATTTTTCCAACGAAAATGGTGTCCAACGGTGTCAATAATGGTTTTCTTTTAGCTTTCCTGTATTGAAATCCCATTTCCCTTAAGCGATTTCTTACGGTTCGGTCACATACATTGGTTCCAGCTTCCTCCCATTTATGCTTCATCTGTTTAGTTGTACTTTTTCAGTTTTCAAGACAAATGGCCTTAAGTTGTTTGTCTTGATGCTTTGATGTCTTTCTTGGTCTACCAGTACGCTTGGCTTTAACAGCCATTCCATGGTGTTTGTGTTTGGTCCATGTCTTGAATACAGCTGACTGAGAACAGCCCACATCTTTAGCAACCATGCATGAAGAGTTACTTTCTTCAAGAAGTTTCACAA